AGCCAGACAGGCTCTCATTATGGCAACAAGTCTGACTATTAGGGCTTTACCCCCCCCACTGTGGGAGTGCCGGGAATATGCCGTCAGGTCCTGCCGCCTTATAGGGGAGGAAACTGTGAATGGCCCAATGGATTTTGTCCATCGTTACCACTCTCTGTGCTAAATTCCAGTCTTCTACTGTTGGTGTCAGTATGTCGTCATGCCGGTTTGCCTCCTGGGTTAAGCAGCAACCTGGGAAGTGCGTTTTAATTAGGATGCGTTGGGCTTCATCCGGCGATGTTGAGTAGCTACCGTCGGGTTTCTTTAGAGACATGGATCCCGCCGTGTTCCGTTTAGCTAGAATATTCCTTATCCTATTTGCTTGTTTGCAGGTTTCTATGTCGCCACAGAATTTACGCCACCCAGTCGAGCGTCGATACCTGATACATTTTTTGTATTCAGACTTAGCTTTCTTATATAGTAGCCAGTCTTCATCCATTGAGGTATTCATGGCCCTGTTTAGGGCTTTTCTTACCTTCTTACGTTTCCTATCGAGTTCTACACCCCACCACTGTTGCTTTACCTCGGCATGCCTTGGTGGAGTGATTTCTGGACATGATTCATGGTAGCTATCTATCATGGCCTTAGTAACAGCTGCTACCTGTTCTTCTAGGAGCGACTGATCTGCTATAGTATTTATCCCCTCAGAACCCGCGAGCGAAGACGTCAACCTATTTAGGTATTTTGTTTTATCCGTCTTGCGGGGATTTCTCCATGGTGGTGTAGAGGGGATATCGACCTGTAGTGCGAAGCAGATCCATCTATGGTCTGAGCATGAGGCCTCTTTCGACACATGCCATCCCGTAATTAGTTTGGCTGCTCCTTCTGTTGCAAGTGTGAGGTCGATTATAGTGCGACAGCGTTTGTTTATGAAAGTAGGTTCAGAACCTATGTTTAAAATGGTTAGGTTAGTACTAAATAAATATTCAACTAAAACCTTACCTCGTTCATTTGGTTTTTCCATTCCCCAAAGGGGATGATGTGCGTTGGAGTCCGTCCCGATCACAACCTCTAGTCCGGTCCTCTCGCAGAAGTTCACCAGCCTGCCGAGGTCATGAGGGGGAGGAGTGTCTTCCTCCGGCATGTAGACCGAGGCGACGACTAAACTTCTCTCCTGTGTGTATTGTATTGCCACGGCATACATGTCTCTAGAACAGAAATCTGTTAATGGTTGTGCACAGATATCTTTAGTAGTGTAGATACACGCTCTAGGCTTGTCGTGTTCAGAGCTGTAGAATAGCTTACCTTTTAGGTTGTTTAGGCCTTTAATTTTACCAGCCCCAACCCACGGCTCCTGGATTAAGGCTATGGCAGTCCTTTGAACCTCCAACCACTTGCGTAATTGAGCCGACGCAGTTTCGCTGTGGTGGAGGTTGGCCTGCACTAGGCTAGTTGTGGACGAAGGGCACGCCATCATTGATCGCGTCCTCCCCGTCCCCGCCCAAAAATAGGCCTGCCAGAAGATCTCGGGTCTCTTCGTCAGCCATCGAGTCGGAAGTGGTCGGCAAAATGCAGTCCTCTTCGTCACTCAGTGAGCTGCCGCTGAGCCCGATCTCCACTGGGGGCTTTGGCTCAGTTGTGCAGGCCGTTTTTTCACTGGACTTGGCCTCCAGTGATTCCGCTGTACCGGTAACCGTGGCTCCGGTATCCATAACTTCCGGGCTGTTTTATACCTCTTTGCTCGGTGGAGTATCAAAGAATTTACCTCCACGACCCTGGAATTTTACGTATACCGCCCCGCATACGTATGCGAGACGGCGTCCAGCCTTCATCAGGGTCGGGATGTGATCCTCCGGCACCGAAACAACGAGGTTTTGCCTTGAGAACACCAGTCCCTGATGTTAACCCAGCGGTTCTGGTACGCCAGCACGCGACCAATGTCACGTGAGTCTTTCCAGGCTCCTTGGGCATCAGGGATTAGGATACCACATTTGACTCTTTGTGGTATCTCTGACTGTTTTTTTATAGTCTGCAAGGTGTTGGATTTAAGATCGAGGGTAGCAATATTCCCCTTTCAACCAGTCCAGAGCCTTCTGTTCGTCGCACCACAGTTTCAGGACACCCTCCGTATATACGGGTTTGCCCCTAAAAACTGGGCCCGACGCATCAGGGTCCTGGCTACTCCACGCCTCGCTGATTATCTTCCTCTGTATTGCTACGAGGATGTCGTCTGCTACTTCCTTCGTAATGTGACCTGAACGCGCACACGTTAAGGCCACACCCAAATCTGCTCTAGCAGCGGAAGCGTAGCTCGTTCTTGCAGCCTTTGGTTGCTGTCCGAGTCGCACTTTTTTGTGTTCCCCTCTAGGCGAGGTGGACTCTTCCAGCATCCTTTTGGCTGCTCTTTCCTTCTTCCCAGGACGCTTGGCCGCTCGCTGCTTCCTGGCGGATATCCTAGAACTGGTTCCCGCGGCCGCGACTTCCACTTGGTCTGGATTTTTATCCTTCCCAGCTTCAGTGCGGCTACTGGTTCCAGCTCCAAGCACCCCAGTCGCAGTAGCTTGCCCAGCTTCCTTGGTTTTAGTTTCGGAAGCAGCCAATGCGGCTCGTTCTCTTCGGCCTTTTTCCCGCTGCTTCTTGTTCTTCTTTTTGGCCTTTCCACTACTGCCTGCAGGGATAGACCCTCCTGATGGTCCGTCAGGTCGGCAAGTCACCTGTTTGGGTGCCATGCCTTTCCGCTTACGGCTCACCACTTGCCAGGCAGCAGAGAAAAGGTCGTCAGTTCGTATTGGCTCCACAGTTTTGTCACTCGCGGGCTCTTGTTCTTTTTTCCCCTCCAGCTCCTTGGAACTGGTTTTGGAAACGTTCAGCGAGGTAGTTGTCCCTTTGATGGGGGCACCTGCGCTGGACGGTACTGTCCGTGGAACCGTCGGTTTAGTGACGGTTCCCCCTTGTTTATTGGTGTCTCTGGTATGCTTACCAGACACTATGCTTACCTCTGACACCTCTCCCTCTTTCTTATTGGGCCTTAAATTGTCCATAATATTTTGTTCTTTAAAATTCATCCCCCCGGCTTCCCACCCTCCATGGAGCCCGCACCTTTGGGAACGCCCTATTTCAGGCGTTAGGATTACCGGGAGAATATAGGGATGCGAAGTTGGCTCACAGCGCGACATCGGGAGCTCGATCCAGCTGGTAGATGGGGCTGACAAGGCCCATCCCCACCACCCGAATAAACTGTCACTTGCTCCGTCAGCATGGCCTTTACCACCACCCAGCCCCCCTTTTCAGGAAAACTAGGCAGCCCCCACATCCCTCGCCTGTGACCCTCTGACGGGGCGCTTGGCCATTTCCCTATCTGTGGCTAGCAGATAGGGCCACCGTTTATCTTGAAATCCGGACCAAAGAGGGCGTATTGCCTCTCGCCACTATATACCCCAGCGATGATCGGCTCAACCCTCCAGGACTCCTTCATCCCCGCGTACGGCGCTCGACTGCGCAGGTCCTAGCGCAGGTGGGTGTTTTAGTCCACCGGATACACCCACTCTCTCCGGCGGAACCGTCCCCTCCTCCTTTCTCATCCGGGCTTGGGACCGGCAATGGCGGAGTTAAAATATACATCCATAGACTATGCACAGACATATGAGCCACATACATCCATTGGCTTTTTTATAGGAGAGGAGAAAATGTGCATGCGGCTCACCTGATGGTAAGTGACTACCGCCTCTCATGAACAATTGCAACACCAAGAGTATTGCAGATGCGGTGTCAGCCTCTTAAGAGGGAGTAGGCTCTTTTATTGAAGATCCCGAAGTCGTATCGGTCTGGAAAAATCTCTGATGTTAGCTGATTCCATAAGGAAGTTGTGTGAGGAAAATTTTTTTATGTACGATTCACATGTCTTACTAGGTTGTAAATTCATCTAGTCGAGTGCCACCCAATACTTTGCTTACCAGTATGAGGTGCCACTCAAGAACCATTTTACTGCTATATGGCTATAGCTATATGGCTGGATCGTGGTATTAAAACTGAAGTAATAGAAGTATTTAAAAATATTATCTTTTATTTTAAAGTTATATAATTTAGTGGTTACAGACGCAATGATTCCGTATGTGACCTAGCGCGCAGTGGCACAGCACGTAGGGCAGTCAAACCAGAACCTATTAAGCCACTTCCATTTAGGTTTGTATGGTCACATGTATGAGCCCGCACAAAGAATATATATGATCAATCTTGGATGACCATAGCCATACCATAATAGCCCATTAAAAGTCTACTGTTGAACGTTGGCTTGCCACACAGACTGCCTGATATTTGCCACAGTTGCCACACTTGGCAAGCGAGTTTATTATTTCGAGTTGTTATCAGGAAGATGCTGCTGCCTATCGCCTGTTACATTTCCTTCTGTCGCCTCTTACAACACCCACGGTACCATATGAGGTAGTAGGTATTCTTACACTGCTACTACCTGGTCGATACTATTCAATCTTGGATTAATCATATAGAATACTATCACAAGCACTCTACTATTTACTATAATAGTTGTCACGGACATACCTCTGTGCTTGTCAGAGCTTGCATGGTGTGCGACAAGACGACGGCTCACATCTTATTGGAGTGCTCTGCAGTCACATGCTACAGGGCTAGTTGGATTAGATTTTTGACATTATTAAAAGTTATTAGGATTCTTCAAAGAGCTGCTGGGGTGACTCGAATAGCATTATTCTCTGCCTAAAACCTGTCATGGAGTTGCGTCTATTAGCTTGTGTGACACTAACATGAACTAGTTACTTCATGTTATTCTAGAATATGTATGTTTATGTTATTCTAGAATATGTATGCGTATATGTAGGATAGTTATTCTAAAGTTAAATCCCTATTTGATTGGATTAAAAAATCTGATTTTTTCATCTAGTGTTATATGATCATAAATCATGGGAAGTTGTTGTTAAGTACATGCTTAAATTAAGTAAAAAAATAAAAAAAATAAAAATTATTGATTCTATTATAACTTTTTTCAGTTTCGTAAGGACTGCATAGCAGATGTAGACACAAGGCCAGCTTATCAAAATTTGCGACAACGGGTTGAAAGCTCTGTTTCCACATTTCTCTCCCGCCAGTGCTGGCAACCTGATCTAAACAAAAATCAACTGAGAGAAAAGCTCAGGAAACATATACTGGAGTAAGTATTTAAGATATATTTTTAACAAATTTCTTTTACTTATGTTTCTCGCACAACATATAAAATAATTTAATATATGTATCAACTACCTTTTATTTTAATTTAAAATACAGTTGCTAACCTGCCTGTTGAGCGTGGCAACTATGACACATGTCCTACCTTATGAGGTATTCTATAGGAAGGCCTATGTTCAGCAGAGGACTTTGATGGACAGTAATGACGAACGAAAATTTTAACACTGGACTGTTTTGGACACCTGACAGTGGCAAGGAATAGGTATTTAAAAGCTTTACAAGGTAAGACAATCAATCTAAGAAGTTTAGTAAGACAGGCAATCTAAGACGATGGAGAAAGGAAAAAATCAATGACATTTATTTGATAAAGAATGGTGAATGAATCTTAATATAGATATACAAAAAACAAATATGGTGGAATTGTATAAAAAAGTACATAGTCATGCTTTTTAATAATTGGGCATCCCTTTCAGGCCCTGGCCTTGTGTCCATTGTGAGCTTTCTTGACTTATTCAAAGAGTATTTTGTAAAGTAAAATTTTAAATAAAAATATTCCAACTTGATTTGAACAGTCCTCTTAACCTACAAATGTACTACAGTATAATAAACAACTAGTATGTTTGGATGTTCACCACAAACAAATTGGTTGAATAAAATCAATAGCACCAGATGTGAAGCCCAGAAAAGTTAAATCACAGGGTTTTGATTGTTTGACCTTTCTTTAGAACAAAATTCGTAAGATCTATCTCAACATCTGCCATAGAATAATTTTTATTCAATATAGATTACAAGTAATTCCTATTGAGTCATGTTTGGCTTTTACCACTGGTTCGAAAAAAAAATTGCCATGGGAAGAAGTAGCATGAAAAGTAGCTGGTCTTTTTTGAGAAATCCTTATGGTACCTGTTTAGAAACCCAGTGGGACTTTTTGGAACCCAGCAAAACTTCTTTAATATTTCATGAAACATCAACCAACTATGGCTTGATACTGTTACCGTTACAGCCTACTAAAGTCCACTGCTGAACATAGGTCTCTCCCGTAGATTGCTTCATAGGGGGGATATTTGCCATGCTTGGCAAGCGAATTGGCAACCGCATTATTTTATTTTTAGTTGTTATTTTGGAGACTCTGCTGCTAATCTCCTGATTTGTTTCCATTTTTCGACTATTACGACACCCACGGGACGATATTGGGTAGTGGATATTATTACACCACCACTACTAATTAATGATTTGATACAGAAGTTTGTTTTACCAAAAAAAAAAAATATTAAACTGGAAGATTCTTTCTTTCACCAATAATTATAGAGTAATTGTTAACTAAAACCAAACCCTTTTTAAAACTATGACACTCAAATAAGTTGAATCAGAACTTTAGGTGATAATCAAAAGGTTTTGCCCTAAGAAGGATTTTTTTAAGTAGTATGAGTATAATATTAATATGATTTCTTTCTTTTTGCAGTGGTAATTACTTGGAGCAAGGAGTAGAACGAATAGTTGATCAAGTTGTGAACCCAAAAGTTGCGTCTGTCTTTATACCCCAAGTTGAAGACCTTGTGTACAATTACTTGGGTATCACGAGGAAAAAGTCTGTACCCAATGCTGAGACTTCAAACGGAAAAATAGAAGATTTACTTCCGACTGACTTGGAAGCAGTTAGCCCTGGCTCAGTCAAAAGCAATGATGATAAGAACGAACAAATGGATATTGAAGCAAATGTTGTTGAAGAGACAAATTATGAAAAGATGGAGGTTGATAAAGAAGAAAAACCCAAATCTGAAATTAAGGATGAAGTCACTACTGGTCTTGAAGTAAACAATGTTGAGAAGGAAAAATCTGAGGTTCAAGAGAGTCAATTATCTGGCGTAAGTGAACTAACTTGCCATGAATCTGATGTCAGCTTTAATAAAAGTTCGATTCCACTGCCAGGTGAAGATATTAAACTAGAAAATATTCCACCTCCTGAAAACAGTCCACCTAAAATTGTTGAATTAGAGAAAATTGAGCTACCCAAGATAATGAATTGTCCAACAGACATACCGTTGCCTGATGAAATTCTGAATAATGACAAAGATAATTATTTCAAAACAATAAATAGTGATGATGATGACTCTAGTTCTGATTCGTCTTTGCGACGAAATATGTCTCCTCTAACACCAATAAGGAATTATAATAATGAAAATTCTTGCGATGCTCAGCAAGGTTTCGATAATGATTCCGTTGAAAGCAAAAGTGATGACAAAAAGGAACCAACTTCGTTCCGGTTTACAATAGAAGCTAAAGCCGCCGAAAATTTTTCAGATGCAGCAAAAACACCTAAGAAACCGACAGATCAGCTTAATTTAGCGTATCAGTTTAATAATCAAGTGAATATAATTAATACTTTCAATACACCTATGTACGAAGATAGTTCAAATAGTAATAATTTGCAAATTGATTACGAGAGTGATGCAAACAGTAAAGCTGTTTTAGAAGCAAAGATTGTTGAAGCAGAAATCTCAGAGGACTCTAAAAAAGAACGGAAGGTCGAAGACAAAAAAAGCACCCATAAGAGCTCACATCGTTCGAGGGACTCGCATAAGCATTCAAGCAGCAAAGGCAAAAAACCTGAGTCAAAACAGTCTACTTCCCGTGATAGTAGTAGGCATGACAAAAAATCGTCAAAAGATGACCATAGCAAATCCAAATCAAGCCACAAAGAAAGCTCTAGAGATAGAAGTGATAAGAAAGACAGCAAAGAGTCATCAAGACACAGTTCCCACAAAAGTTCTAGTCAAAAAGATTCCAAATCTCACAAGAGTTCAAGCTCAAGTCATAGGCATTCAAGCAAGCATTCTGATGATAAGAAAACATCTTCATCGTCCAGTCATAGATCTAAGACTGAAAAGAGTTCCGATAGAAGTAAAGATAAGTCCAAAGATTCCAAATCAAGTTCATCACAAAGATCGGATAAAGATAAGAAAAGTAGTAGCAAGAGTAAACACGAAGAAAAAGAAAAAGAGAAAAAAGAAAAGAAGGAAACGGATGATCATTATAGTCTTTCCGGTCGTGGAAATCCAAATCGTAGATCTACTGACAGAGACTCTAATGATGGTAGTTCCTCTTCCAAAGGATCGCAAAACCCTGCCAGTTCAAAATCATCTGAAAGCAAAAAAGAAACGAAAGGTGGCAGTTCAAAATCGGACAATATGTCAACTAGCAGCGAAGGAACGAGTCCATGTGACAGAGAATTAACTTTGCAAGAAAAAGAAAAGGAAGTAATAGATATGCTTCAACCTAAACCCATTGTGAGAATTGAAACACATCTAGGAACTCCTATTGCTTCACCGCCGCGTTTACCTTTTGTTCCTGATATCACGCTTAAAAAGCCAAAATTTGCTGCAAATTTAGAGGAAGCGAAGAGACTGATGAAAATGCGTAGGTTCTTGGATGAAGAACAAAAACGTATGAATCAAGAGGCTGCGTTACTACTAGAATTCCAGGCAAACGTTAGACCCAGTCTGAGTCAAATTTACTCCAGTATTCCAGGTCCTGAGTTGGAATTCGCTTGCGTTACAAATACGGTTATACATACTGATCAGCTGATGGTACGAAATAATGATAGTGCCAGCGAAAATACGGTTGAATACTCGATAGAACATAGTAATTATGCAGAAGATGAAGGTTTTTCAGATCACATTGAGGATGATATCCCGTCAACTTTAACGGTTAAAGAAGTTGAGGAATCTATTGAAAGCATTAATGAAGAGTTAAACAACAAAGCAAAAGCACACGCAACCGAAGAATCTCTGAGTAAAGAAACTTATTATGAATCTAAAAATTCAGAAACTACTAAGATAGAAACTGAATATTCTACGGAAAATAAAATTGGTTTTAATGACAATGTTACAAATAATTCAATTAAAAACGATGCTATTCAAGAAGAAGAGAATAAAAAAAGAACTGAATTCTTTGAAGTTACGATAATTACGGAAGAATTATCAGAAAGCGAGGATTTGATATCTCAAAAGAACGAAAATAAAATTCACAATAATATTGATAACCAAAATGAAAATAATGCAACTGCACAATCTGAACAAAACAATTTCCATTATTTCGGAGAACACGAGAAATACAAAGCGGAACTAGAAAGAGATCAGTTTACCAAATTTTTCAAAGTTTACACCGAAAGAGCGTCAGCTAACAACAAAATTTATTTAATAAATTGTGATACATATGAAGAGCAAATTATGCAAGAAGCACTAGAAACATTTGGGCAATTTGAAATTATTAACTACCAAAGAAATGGTCATTTGAAATTGCCTAAAATTTCCAAAAACATCGTCAAAAATGTTAATTTGTCTACCGAAGTTTCATTACCATTCGATAATGAAATGGCAGATGAATTCGATAATAGAAAACCTTTAATAGAGTCTGTATTCAGCCCAGTTAAATCGGAATGTTCTTTCGAGCTATCAAGTGACTATAATGAAAGATTAGAAGAGATGGTCAACAAAACTTCGCGGCAAGAGATTATGGAAATTATACTCGGCAATGTTATTGCCGATTCGCCTACCAAAATGCCTAAAATTGATTATTTCACAGATTCGAATATTGAATGTGATATAGAAAATAATACGAAGAGAAAAATAAGTGAAGTAGAAACTGTTAATAACAATAGGCACATTCTGACGCCTAACAAAGTGCGAAGATTGAGCACCTCCGACCAAATTTCGTCTACAACCGAAGGTAAGTCAAAAATTCCTCAACACTATGAATAAGTGGTTGCCCCTGATAACTAAGTTGGAATATCTCCATACCAGTAAAAATAATTTCTACACAATAGTTTCTGAAGTTGGCGCTAAGTCTCTTAAACTTTAGTAGCTGTAATATAGTACTTATTTATTTTACAATAATTTATAGACTCAGACGTTACTTTGCGCAAATTCATCTTTTAACAATCCAATCAAACAATAGGATCCAATTTTTTAATTTATCCTTAAAGTCGGCCTCCCTTTTAATGTAAAATTTTTTGACTATTATGTGTGGATTAAGAACAAGCTCAAAGTAACAACTCAAATGTCGTCTACTTATTTAGTTTGTGCCATAAAATGGTACACTGTCCACGCGGTAAGTTCTAAGTACATAATATAATATAAACACTCATGCCTGTCACCCAGAGGGGTAGGCAGAGACTACGGACTTCCGTTTGGCATCATCCTGATATACCTTTTTCGCCCTACATGCTCGTCAGTTAAGGTTACCCTTAATTTAACCCATTTTCAATATATTGCGAATTTTGTCGATAGACTTTCGCCTAGGACGTCCCTTAATACATACGTTCATATTAGTTTAATACGAAATACGTAAATAAAGTTTTGATTGATACATAATTAACATTAATTTACATTTTTAGACTTGGATGAGAGATCTAATAAGTGTGTAGTGCCCAATAGCACCCGCTCTAAGTATTTAGGCAGAGCGAGAAGAGTTGGACTACCTCGACCTAGGAAAACTGGTAAGGTTTTATATATTGGTAAGGTTTTATATATTGCTAATGTCTAAATACTTGCTATCTTTAACAACACCCATTGGATATTACCAAGTCCGCCCTATGTACCATTAGTTTTTTTTATAGCATTGCCAAACGAGCACACAGTCCACCTGATGGTAAGTTGATGCTGTAGTCCCTAAACATCCATGTTTATCCTCTATTAAGAATCAATCTGTAAAGAAGACTAAGGAGGAATGCCTCGATTCCAGTAAAAAGGGTCTCAGGTTCTCTACACTTACCATGCGAAACTCAGCAGCATTACGCTGCTATTTTACGCTGGTATTCCGTAAGAGCGTGGTCCTGCCCCGGTCGAGCCGACCCATTCGTGCTACAACTATATTATAGCTGCAGCGTGGCTCTACCACATATAAAAACTTACATTTTACATTTAATCTTATAAATAAAAAATAAATGCTCTTATTAATTCTAAAAAAAATTACAGAACTACCGAACAGTCCATCCAGTGATAAATCAGTTGAGAATTACGAACATAACACCCCGACAACACAGCCACCAAACGGCAAAATCAAAAGCACTCCGAGGAATAAAGTTCAAAGATATGAAACTTCAGATTTATACAAGCCGAAACTGCACTACTTGTCCAGAAGAAACAATATTAGTTAAGGTAATAACTTAAACTAATAGGAAAAGGTATTTCACTGTTTTTATTAATCTCCTCTTCATCATCATTCACATCACACATCACAGCCCTTCACAAGTCTACTGCTGAACATAGATTTGACGGTTAACTCGCCCATTCTTAAACCACATTTTTCACTTTTCAAAGTTTGCAAACAACTTCTCCGGAATCATGCGCGTGGAAAAGACTTGATCTGTACACCCCGTGCCTTCCTAAATCCCGCTGGCACATCCCAAATTATCCATCAGTTTCTTTCATAACTTTTGAATTAACCTCTTATCATACAGTTTACCTACAATACTAAGCAAACACATACCACGGTAATTTTTACAGTCCTATTATGACCCTTTTCCCTTATATCATCATCATCATCATTACAGCCCTTCACAAGTCCATTGCTGAACATAGGCCTCCCCCAAGGAATGCCAAAAAAGCAGCCCTAAACCACCTGCATCCATCCACTTCCTGCATGTCTTACCATGTCCACTCCATCTAGTGGAGGGCCACCCCACACTTCGCCTACCGGTACGAGATTTCCACTCAAGAACCTATTTTCGACATTGGTTGTCGGTTCTTCGAGTTGAGAGGCTATGTCGATTAATCTGGTTCTACTGCAGATATCCTCATTTCAAGTTTATCACGCAGAAAAACCCCAAGTATAGCCCTCTACATAGCTCGCTGAGTGATTTTGAGCCTCCTCATACGGCCGACAGTGAAGGACCCTTTTTCAGATTCGTATGTCATCACTGGCACTAAAACTTGGAAACAAGATCGTACAATCTTGTTTTCAAGTTTTGAGGTATACCTGACGAAAAAATGTGTCGTAATATCCTGAACGCTGTCCAGCCGATTTGAATCCATCGATTGACCTCTCGGTCGGAGTTGTACTTAGCTAGTCGAAATATTTGTCCCAGGTAAACATACTCGTCAATTTCCTCTTCAACAAGTTGAATCTAGCGACCGGCTCTCTTTTTTTTTACAATATTTACTGACTGTCTCGTTGGTCTAGACGTAAACGCGGTTGCTGATATTGATGTCCCGGGTTCGAATCCCGGGTCGGACCAAAATCAGTTAAATCGGTTTTCAACTTGAGTAATTCTCAGTAGCAGCTTGGCGGTGTCTTACCCCTGTGCCTCGGAAAGCACGTTAAGCCGTTGGTCCTGTGCCTGATCTCTCCGGTCGTGTCGGATTACCGTCCCATCGGACTATGAAAGAGAGGGAATAGAGAGTACACCTGTAGAGACTGACTTTAGTCTCCGTAGAGACTGGCCGCCGTGACCGAAAATCGATCTGGAGGAAATTATTATTCGTAATCCTCTATTATATCCTCATAAAATATATATTTTAAACATTTCAGACTTTCAAAATTCCACTGCTGAACATAAACAGACCTTCCCCATAGGTTTAACCCCCCCCCCCACACTAAAATCTTCGTCCTCAATAAATTCTCTAGTTTTAAATGAATAGACATACACAAAAAATTATTATTAAATACAGTGAAATACCATATCATATTTCTAATTATATTCTCTATAAGAAAATCTTAGCAGAATTTTATGTAGAACTATATTGTACTATTGTTCTGAATTGACGTTGTGGTGTTTTGATATTGTTAGTTGAGTGCTGCCAGATTATATAGATAAAACTTCCCAAGTATAAATGCAGTTAAATTAAAAACTTAATTAATTTACTACTTGTTATGTATTTCGTAATTTACACCATTTTAAAGCTACGAATAAAATCATTCAAGTTGTCAAATCAGTAAACACACTGAAAGCCCTTGCTGAGTAGTAAATAAATTTGATGTATTGAGGAAATACTATTATATCTTATATGATAATGTACATAGATAGTTTATTTTATTTATTTATTTATTTCTGAAACTTACAACTATCAATTACAGGGAGTTATTATCTAAACTTATTAAAGATCTGAAAAACGGTTGACTCTACAGACCATCTCTATAACTGCCCTGTTATTTTCGAACGCAACGCTCGATAATCTATTTAATTTTAGTTTTTATTTTTTGAAAATCTTTGAAACGGCTTGACCGATTGACTTGAAAATCTAATCAGTTCGAAGTTTCAATGAACAATTTCGAACGCCGTGCCGCCCATCTCAATCGGTTGATTCATTGTAAAGATATCGTACGACATACATACATACATACACACACATGTGGGCGAACGTCCAGCTAGGAATAGTTGAAACGGCTTCCTGGAACCTCAAAACGTGAAGATTTGATTAAAATTTGCGTTCTCAAAATGAGACCGAAACCTAGAACTTCCTACTTTTGAAAATTATTAATTTTGAAAGCGGGAAGTTATGGTCTGCGCGAAAGTTCTTGTCACCGCCTGAGGTATGCAGGCGTTTTGAGAACCTTTAATGATATCTTAATTTTAATATGCATTTACAGCCCATCACACTCCACTGCTGAACATAGGCCTCCCCAAAGATTACCTCATAGGAGATTTGCCATAATTGCCACGCCTGGCTGGCGGGTTCTTGTTTTTTCGAGTTTAATCGGAGTTTTTATTTTTATCATCTTGTTATCTGGCAGACGCTGCTGCCTATCTCCTGTTTCATTTTGTTGCTTCTTACGACTCTTACGGTAATAGGTTCTCTTACGCGCAACCACAACAAGGCGAATGTTATATTAATCTGATATATGGTAGAACTGAGACTCCCGTTTTTTAAGATTTCAATTAGTCATATCTGCCCTATTATAGGAAGTAATTTTCGACGAATATCTGGCAACACTATAAATATGTCACTTACATCTTGTAATACTTTCTAGTGTGATACTCCATTTAAACTGCCATTATGTGAAAAAAGAAATATTGTGATTTCTCTATTTTATAGATTCATAAGTATTATATAATATAGAAGTAGATAGCGCTGTGTTGTTTTGAGATATTATATTCGTTTATGGAAATCCTTATGTAGATTTTACAACTTAAATATTTTTTAAATTGAGATTTTAACGTTTAAAAACTCAAACGCTGCTCAATTTTAAGATGCCGTTAAGTATCGTGCTGTCCCTATTTTACTTTAAGTCAATCTGACTGAGACGCTACTAGACTTAACGACGTCCTAAATTTAAGTAATATTTGAGTATTTGATCATAAGATTACCTTTTGCAATCGATGAATATCGGTACCTCAACAGATAAATCGCGAAATGTGAGAGACGTTGTTGATAATTAATAATAAGCTTTATTAAGTATAAATATAGCGTATATAATTGTATGACAAATATAATTTAGTCGTGGTGTCACAGATGCACGATGGTGTAAATTTTGAAAATATTATTTAAACTGTGAGCTAGCTATACCGGTATAATGTAATCTTTATATTTAATGCAGACATTCAATTTATGTATGTATTGTTATATCTATTACAAATTAAACATATGAGAAACATGTCTTGTGTTTGTTGAATTTTAGCTACCTTCATAAAACTTCTTTAGCATCATTTTGATTTGAATCTCAATGAAACGAAAAAGCGACACTAAAAGAAACAAATATATAAATCTAAAGGGATATGCCGTGTAGTGGCGGTTAAGAATATCCACTACCCCATATCTTCCCGTGGGTGTCGTAAGAGGCGACAGAGGGAAACAGGCAGGAGATGGGCAGCAGCATCTTCCTGATAACAGCAACTGTACGACAAAAAAAAACTGCGGTTGCCAACCCGCTCGCCAAGCGTGGCAACTATGGCAATATACCCCCCATGAACAATTACACAAATAGACGGCCCCCAGTCCCCGGCGGCCCCGCTATTCCTGGCTACGGTGGCGACCATGGTAACGGCGGGGCAGGGGGTGCTAAGAATCTCCGGTGGAGGTTCGGTTGCCACCTACGACGACTCGACCTGGCAACATTTAACGCACGCACTCTGAGGACTGACGAGAAGATCCTGGAGCTGGAAGAAGAGATAGACAAGTTGCGCTGGAGTATTATAGGATTATCCGAGGTCCGAAGAGAGGGGGAGGACACGGTGATTCTCGAATCCGGCAACTTGTTCTATCACCGGGAGGGCGACCATCTGTCCCAAGGAGGTGTCGGATTTATCGTCCACAAGTCTCTCGTCAACAACGTTGTAAAGATTGGGAGTGTGTCGACGAGGGTCGCGTACCTGATACTCAGAATCACCAAACGGTATTCGCTGAAGGTCATACAGGTTTACGCACCAACCTCGGCACATTCCGATGAGGAGGTGGAGGAAATGTATGAGGATATTTCCAAAGCCATGCATTCCTCCAAAACCCACTATACGGTGTTGATGGGAGACTTCAACGCAAAACTAGGCACAAGAGAAAACGGTGAGCTGAAGTTAGGGAAATTTGGAGTAGGGCAACGGAACCGAAGGGGCCAGCAGCTGGCCGACTTTATGGAGAAAGAGGTACTCTTTATGATGAACTCTTTCTTCCAGAAGCGGCCCCACAGGAAGTGGACCTGGTCGAGCCCCGACGGTTCGACAAAAAATGAGATTGACTTCATTATGACGACCAGACGCCAACTGTTCAGTGATGTCTCAGTGATCGCAAGGGTGAAAACTGGCAGCGATCACCGAATGGTTAGAGGCACACTGAACCTAAACGTTAAGTTGGAGAGGTCTCGTCTAATGAAGTCAACGCTCCGTCCCCCCTCGTGCTCTAATCCAGAATCCCGAAAACTTTCAGCTCGAGTTACACAACCGCTTTCAGTGCCTACAAGATTGCAATGCAGTGGACGATATGAATGACAAGCTCGTGGAAACTGTCCATGCGGTCGGAGCTAAGTTCTGCAAGACCCGCCGCAGAAGAATACAAAAACTCTCCGATCACACTCTTAATCTAATGGCTGTTAGACGGGAGATGAGGCTGCAATCGTCAACAGATTTGACAGCATACAGGAAACTGAACAGACAGATCTCCAAATGCATGCGGCGAGACTTACGCAACTTTAATACTGCTCGTATTAAAGAAGCGATCGAGCGGAACC